TTCAGAAGTGCAGATTTTATTGTGCACATGCTTGCTACAGTAAACCCGAGACTTGTCCTCTGAACATGTATAAAGACTGGACTGTGTGAGGCTGCCTCACTGTTCGGTACTAACTACTAATGCCAGCAGGCTAGAATGCTCACAACGCTAACATGCTGACGTTTAGCAGGTGTAATAGTAACCATGTTCACCATCTTAGTTCAGCATGATGGCATACAAACGTTTGCTAATTAGCATTACAGCTAAGGCTGATGGGAATGTCATTAGTTTTACAGGTATGTAGTCATAAACCAAATTATTGGACAAATTGTACTTGACAATGGCTCTGGATGAAAACAATTCATCCTTAAGTGGAAAATGAACGTCTGTAAATTTCATTGTTGTCCATCTAATAGTTGTCGATTTGGTCCTGATTTCAGTCAGGATCAAAGTGACGAACTGAACTAACAGACTGAGCCGCGTAACGAAACAGTAGAGCTATGCTAAATGGCAAAATATTATACTGGTTCAAATATGCTTTCTTTTTTCAATGAGTGTCCGCATTTCACAAATATACATATGAGTAGTTTTGTAAATGTAAACACACTTAGTAATAACTCCTCTTCCCCCCTCTGTCATTCTCAAGTAGTTTGAATTAATATGGTTCTACTGTACAGAGCAAACTGTGTCGTTTCTTGCTGTGTTTAATACTAATTTGCTGTTAAATCTAACCCCATGCTATAACAGCAGCCGTCTGGTCTGCTCAGGGCCTGAGGTCAAGGGTCAGGGATCTGAACAGAAAAGCCTACTCATTCGTAACAACACATCATAAACACACCATTACACACCATCTGCAGCGGCGTCAAATCCCCAAACCAGCTTGTTTGTGTAGGTGTGTGTGTGTTGGTGTCTCTGAGATCACACCCACAGACACACAGGTGAGGTGATGGAGGAAGTGACCATCTGGTATCTACTGAGGCATCAAATTACCTGCTGAATGGTTTACATTGGCCTCATGCATAATACTGTGTGTGACATACAGTGATGCTTTTAAAATATATTGTTTGAAGCAAATACTAATATTTACCATTGCATGTATTGTTCCTGCTGCTCTATTCTTTGTTTCATTATCCCTTACATTCATTTGACAAACTAGTTTATCCAAAGCAACACACACATTTGTTGTCTTGCTCAAGGACACTTCAACATGTGGACAGGGACCCACCAGCCCTGTGAAAAACAGCCAACCCACTCTACCATGTTTATGATTTAGCTAAATAACTCCACAAGAACAGTAATTGTTTGAGTATGAGGTAACCGTATGCAGTTAATCTAAATCCTGCCATAACTCGCTTCCAAAGTTAATTGCCGGTAAGTAATTAGGAAGTTTTCTGTCTTTAACCATTAGTGTAACTGTCAAGTCTTTTTTTTCCTCTCAGAAAAAGACACTCTCCCAATTATTTCCAAGTCTGCTCATATACAGAGCTTTATGCTTCATTATCTCAGCAACAGATTTGCTCATATGGAACCCACTACCTCTCTTTCTGTTGCCAAATCTGTCTCTTCATTTCCTGATTGCCACCTCCCTTTTGCCAAAATTGTGTTTTTCCCATCATTGTTGTCGAGCACCTCCTCACCATCCCTCCCTCCGTATCCCCTAACACTATATCTCTTGACATTCAGCGCTTTCTCTTTCTTTTCTTCCGCTTGTACTTCCCGTTCTCGTCTCTTTTTTACTCCCAACTGCCTCTTACACTCACCCAGACCTTTCGCCCTGTCAACCCGTATCTCCGCCTTTCTTCTCTCTCGCCCCCCTCGCTACTTTTTTTCTCAAGTCCCCCCTCCCCTTGTTTCCTTTGACAGCACCACCTCCCTCCCCTCTGTGTTGCTGCTTGATACCCAACATGCACTGCTGCATCCCTGTCGCTGTCCACACTGCCACAATCAGAGGCAGGCAGCCTCTCTGTCAATGCCCACTGGTCTAACACCTGCCACTCTGAATACACTGTGTGAGGGAGTCACTGTGTATTCTTAAAGAGAAATTACAAAGAGAAAAGGAGTTTATCATCCCCACTAGACATTTCCCTGCTAATTGTTGTTTGGTGTGTTTATCTCTTACTTCGGTGTTTGTGAGGGTTTATGTCAGTTTTACCGACATACAACCAGACGCGTGGATTAGAGGTAGATCTAGGCTGTTAGTGTTCTATTCTGAGATCCTCCTTAAGGAGAAGCCTGTTAATTTAGCTGCTCTAAATACAGAACCCCCTCCTAGCAGCTCACTCTATAACCCACTACATGAAACTGGACTGTGGTGACAGGTCCTTTACTCTGTGCGTGCGTGTTTGTGTGTGTGTGTTTGTGCGTGCTATAAGAATGTGTGCGTTCCTTCAAAGTTGGCTGGCTAGCCTCCGGCTGAGTGGTGCATGGACGATGGTTTGTGGTGCCACCATTGACGAGGACATTTGGACACGGCCAGAGTTGGGCTTTCTCTCCTTTCTCGGTTCACATTTCTTTCCACCTTTTTTTGTTCAAATGTATTGCTCACCAGGAATCTTTTTTTCTGATTGAATAATAAAGCAATGATTTCTTCCCACAAAACAAGGTGGTGTATTCAAATTGTTAACGTTAATTTACATTGCTATAAAAAGAGAAATACTTTTATAAAAATGTAAATACTTGATGACATGTTTAATTGGTTCAATTAATAATTGATTATCTAAGTTTTCATCTAATCAACTAAGTTGATTTATCAAAAAAATGTTTCATCACTGAATCTTGTCTGCATGTGTTGCATGTGTTGCTCTTTCTTAAAGTATCAGCTAAGTATTTACTGCAACAGAATCGAAAACATAAATGCAACATAATGCAAGCTTGAATGTGCATTTTCCTTTATCCACAGTTATAATGACTTATTATCTCTTCAAAAACTCTGAGACACTTGAATTAAAGAAAACCAACTCAATCAAACAATAACCACTCATAATCAACAACACTTGACCTGTCAAATTGAATTCTCCACTTGTACCTCGCAGACATCCAGTAGCTAAGTGCTACATGTTTATACCATTGCTGTAATTTGGTCTCCTTTCTATCGCAGCCAAGAGTTCTGTAATTGCTTTTCAGTCAGTGAATGTGTTTATTTAATGGCAGGCTTATTTGTGTAGCTACATTGTCTTCAACAGCCGGTGTCGATTTTACACTAAACATTATCTTCATCAGTATAAGTACGCTCAGTCATGCTCTCATTTGGTTTGATGATTCTTCACTATGGCAGTGTTTCTGAGGAGGAATTCGCTAGTAATCACCTCCGTCCCTTTTAACGTTTATACCATGTTATTGCAGCAAGTGAAACTGTAATGCATGCCAGACTATGACTTGCAGTGTTACAATGTTGTGGTGGTATGGTTTAGAGACAGAATAGTTTGATCTGTGTGATTCACAGCTCTTAGTGTAGCTTTCACCACCATGCAGCGCAAGTGTGGTAATAACCAAAGGAAACAAATTCGTTTTTCCAAGACTGCGGTTAATCAGAAACAACACAAAACCTCATCTCGTGCACTGCGTCCAAATGTGGACTTTTGTGTCCAAACTGCATTCATTCCGCTCCCACGGCTCCTCTGTTGAACAACGTGTGGGACTCGTGCTAACACGGACACAAAGAGGGTATGGAGGAGAAGAAAGAAAAGCTGATTGAAGACGGTGAAGAGGAACGGATGGATTGTGAGGGAAGGCGGAAGAAAATGAGCAGTGAAAGTATAAAAGCTTAAATCAAAAGAATAAAAAATTCATAAGAATCGGCCAGAGAGAGCTTATAAATGAGAAACATTGGAGTAGAGGAGGAGAAGGTGCATTTATCAGGCAAAGAGAGGGGCGGGAGAAGAAGGGCAAAGGGAGCACTGGACTTTATTTGTGGAGAGATTGCGAGCTTGTTAATGTATCGCTGAAGAGGACGCACACACACACACACATATATATACATTCAAATATTCCAGCAGTCGGGCAGATGCAGCACGGCATTTGTTCATTATAAACGGAGAGTAACCATCATATTTTCCTAATTAGTTTCAAGCAGTTCTTTAAAGACAACCTTACTGGGATTGAAACAATTAATGTGCTGAGAGCAACGGTGTTTTAGCTTAAAAAAAGAGCGCTGGCACTAACACTCAAGGTCAACCCAGCTTTTCCTTTGCTTGGTCTTTGTTTGATTCTTGGATCTCTTTGTGCTCTCTCATTCCTCTCACCTCATATGTTAGTTCTTCCCGTCACGGAGTATTGTTTGAAGTTCATGCATAGAGTGTTTTGTACTGCTAACAAAGTGGAGAGGGGCTTAGAGATTTGTTTAAACTCTGGACAGCATCATTAGAGGCAGAGCCAGAACCTTTACTGCCTGCATGTGTTTGAGTATGTGTGCATGTGTCCATGGTGTGTGTACTCCTGCATAAGTGTACATATTATGTTTTCCCTCAGATAAGCCAGGTCAAGTTTAGTTTAATAATATTGTATTTTTCCTTTGAGAAAATGGCTCGAGGAAAGGAACCATGGCTAGAGGTGTGTGTGTGTGTGTGTACGTGTACGTTTGCATGCCTGGGGTCTCTTATGAGCTGTGTGTGTAGTGAATAAGTTTGCACTAAATGATTAAGCATCTGCTCAGCAGAGGGTTGGTAAGAGGGCGAAAGGCCACGTGTGTGTATTTTGTCCATGCCACCTCTCTCACACACACACACACACACTGAACAGACTCCTGAGTGCTTTCAGAGACACATCTCAGTAATGTATCCACAAGAGATCTGTAATCTACTGCAGGCTAACACTCTTGATGTCTTCTTTATTTCTCCTATTCTTGCCAAAAATAATTGCCCTTCTCTGTATTGCTATCTGTTGGAGAAGACATGCCAATTCTCTTCCTTCCTCAATTCACCCCTTGTACTCTAATTATGTCTTCCTACATTTCCCAAAGACGTGACATTATCTGTCATTTAAGACTTATTTCCGCCCTTCTCCACCATCCCTTGTGCTTGCAGGACAGCGACATCCAGAAGAAGATTGACCATGAGATCCGTATGCGCGACGGAGCCTGCAAGCTGCTGGCCGCCTGCTCCCAAAAAGACCAGGCGTTGGAGGCGGCGAAGAGCCTGCAGACCTGCAGCACGCGTATCATGGCCTACATGTCGGAGCTGCAGAGGATGAAAGAGGCTCAGGTCATGCAGAAGCTCACGCGGAGGTCGTCAGATGCAGGGCCGATGGACGACAGACTCCCGTGCAAAGGAAAAGTGGCCATCTCAGGCAAGTAAAACCTTGTCTAAATGTCTGGATGTGTGTGTTGTAGGATCATTTTATGCAGGATTATGCAAGGAATTTGTAAAAAGCACAACTTCATTTATTTATTGTTGGAGATTTGGATATACACCAGCAATATATAAGAGAACCTTGAGTCTTTGTGATCCCTTTAGTGTTACTATTTAATGCAGAGCTCCTCTTGTCAGGCAGAGGCTGACTGGTAGATGCTGCCTCTTGCAGTATGACAGCGGGCAGTCAGATGAATAATTATGGAGCTACTCTGTTTGCATTGCAGATGCACTGCAGGTATAATTCACACCAGGGACACCAAAACAACCGGTTCTTGTTTTGTTTGTCTTTAGAACATGATGAGAGGGTAAAAAATATATATATATACCCAGCTGGAGAGATACACAATCGGTAATTAGCTGTGGGTACTTTAGCCAGTGACTGAGTGCACACACACATTCAGATAACCACTTATCAGTTAGACAGTAAGGGTGATTAACATTTTTGTGGTCTAATCCCCTGTCTGTTGTCATTATAGATCTTCGGATCCCTCTCATGTGGAAAGACACGGAGTACTTCAAGAACAAAGGAGGTGAGGAGCCAACTCTGTATGTGTGTGAAGAATTGTATTGATGGAGTATTAATGATTTATACCTATAGGATTTATTAATGATTTGATTCTGAGGGAATGGTATATTGGCTTCACACACGGTTATGAAATGGCTATTTCAAATATGTTGAATGTGTGTGAAAGCTTTGTATAACCACAGGGGTGAGTGTGGGATTCCTCATGACTGAAGAACAAAAAAATCACATTTTATCATTGGCTAGAGGGCAAAACACTGATGTGGACTTTGAGATTCCTATTTGAAAAATCTGCTGACCCATTGAATTGTGCAGACAGCTCATACAGTAGGACATTTTCTCTACTATATGCATGGTCCACAGCACAGCTCCTGCAGCTGATTATTACAATATGTTGCAGCTTTACCAGAAATCTCAGTATTTTCCAGGAACTGTTTTTTTGTAGACATGAGGAACTCCTGGCAGCACAACCTGACCCATCGTTCAGTCCTGCTGGCTTTGCTTTTTGGCTCTGAGAAGCAGCAGCAGCAGCACACAGGTGCTAAACTGGGTCATTATTAGTCATTTAGGGAACTCACGTTTTCGTTCTGTGGACTATTACTGTGGAACATTTCGTAGTTAAACATTTTTATGGCATTTCAGAACTCAATGGTGCACTGAAAATATAACAATGGTAATCATAAAAATGACTATTTGCTATCCCGCCTCCTCTTGATAATGTCAATGTGGGTTAACCCCCTTGCAGTCATTATAACAGTGTCAGAGCTCATTCTCTCCCCTGGTAGCTTGAATGGAATTAATCTGCATGGCCTGTGCATATAAATGAACTCAAGAGAGTGTTAGTAGACTCTTAACAAAGCTTAATGAGGCTGTTAGTCAAGGTCATTAAGCACACCGAGACATAAACTGAGCCCAGGAGGTGAGGAGGAGTAAAGCATGTTCCTCCATCACGTGTCCAATCACATTCTCAGCCGAGCGTTGCACTCATACTTTTAATGTTAAGTGTGAATATTAAGTGTCAATGTGCTGTGTACTGAGAAGCACATAAATAGGAGTGGACTACGTCTTTTAGCCTTTTCAGTTGAAACCTTGGAATTTTGAGAAGTGGCAAAATAAATACATTTGTGTTGTGCAGTAGTAATTATAAAACATAGAGGACCATCAGTAGCCACACTATTTATATTTCAACAATTATACCCAGAGTACTATTTTTTTTACATACATGTCTCACTGGTATTATTAATATGTTGGTGTGTCGGCACAAGGAATCACCATAATAGTTACCTATATTCATGCTTCTTTACAATGCACAGGCATTTCTTCACAATGTACATAGAGCGCAATAGTTGTTTCATAGCTCTAATTTGCTACTGCAAGATTAAACACCATTGTGCTTCAATTTCAACCACAAAACATGCTTCATAGGAATTCTTGGCACAGCTGGTCAGTTCACAGATTGTCAGCCAGGTGGAGGAGCTGATCTTATTTCACCTTTAACTACTCGGGTCATATTTCCTCTCTAGCCTCTGGCCTCAACACGTTGTTAAAGCACTTATCTCCATCTTGGAGGTGATGTTGTTTTGGAGCTGAACATGAATTTTTAAGTGATGCAGATTAATAAAAGATGTCAACATGTCACGTAAACCTTTTTTTCTCTGTTGTTCTGCCGTTCCACCTCGTCCTTCGTAGAGCTCCATCGGTGTGCAGTGTTCTGCCTGCTGCAGCTGGGAGGAGAGATCTTTGACACAGACATGGTGATAGTGGACCGGACACTCACTGATATTTGCTTTGACAACACCGTCATATTGTAAGTAATCTATTTCACACATAAACTGAAATACTCACAAAAAAAACAACCTGATATGGTCATGTTCATCATGTGTATCCTTTCGCAGTAATGAAGCCAGCCCGGGTTTTGAGCTGCGTGTTGAACTGTATAGCTGCTGCTCAGAGGACGACTACTCAACAGGCAGCACGCCAAGGAAACTAGCCAGTAAACTGAGCTCGTCACTAGGGCGATCCGCTGGGAAGAAGCTCCGGGCAGCCATGGACCCTGGGCCATGTAGTCCTGTTAGCAACGGAGCTCCTCTTCTACTGCCAGTTCCCTCTGTACCGTAAGTTTAAATATTAGCTAGTTTACATGTTGAATAGAGGAAGAAATTATATATATATTCCAGAGAATACAAGTAGGCATCTTTATGGAGACAATTTTTCACTATGAACATGCATTCTCAAATGCAAAATATATTTCCATCCCCTCTCTTGTGTGTTGACAGGGGCCCTAAGTACCACCTCTTAGCTCATACCAGCCTGTCACTGTCGCACGTCCAGGACAGCTTTCGCACACATGACCTCACCATCTCAGGCAACGGTGAGTGGCAGCCTCCTTCAATCTGTCTCCTCACCATCTTTCTCTGTTCTCTGCCAATCCAGCCATCTGTCTGTTTTTCTGTGCTTCCCTCACTCCTAACTGTCTCTCTTCCCTTCCTTGCGTTCAAATAATTTCCCTTAATTTCCCTCTTCTCTCCCCTTCCTTCCGCCCCCCTCCTCTCTGTCCTTCCATGTTCTCTGACAGACAGCCGTTGTTAAGGTCACAGTAATAACGTCTGTGCTATGAGGTGACTGCTGTGTAAAGCTGTAATGATGTGGACTAACAAGGGCCCAGACCCTTAGACAGACAGGCCCCTAGTGTTTTATTCATTGGCTTTTCAGCCTGCTGTAAAGTTTCATTGCTGCACTTCATGACACTCCCTGCAGCTGCCAGTCTTTTATACCCCTGTGCCTTGTTTTGTGTTCATAAGGGGGGCAGTATGACAGGAAAAAGTGTGTGCATCTCTGTGTGTGTGGATGCACATGACTATACATGTTTGTGTGTACATTTTGAATGTCATGTGGGAATACTTTTATTTATTTGTGATGTTTATTTTTGGCCATCCATCTCTCTCTCTTTCCCTGCAGAAGAGTGTTCGTATTGGCTGCCGCTCTATGGCAGTATGTGTTGCCGCCTCGCAGCTCAGCCTCACTGTATGACCCAACAGATGATGAGTGGATGTTTGAAAGTTAAGGTAAGTTGGCAGGTGTGTGTGCGGCAGTGACGGGAACTATGCCTTTCAGGGATTCAATAGATTTAAGTTTTTGTCCTGGTTGTCCTTTTCTCCTCCTCCACTCTCCTCCTCTTCTTCTTATGTTGCCATCTTTCTTTGTGTTTCTCTCCCTGTCTTTCAATCCGCACTTCACTGGTCTTTTCCTCTACCCCGCAGCAGTTGGGAGGTGAGCCTCAGAGTTGGACAAAAGTGTACGCCGCTCTAAAAGGAACAAGCCTTTTCTGCTACCACCGGCAAGAAGATGTGGAGGCTAACGTCGAGCCAGCTTTCACTATTGCCATCAACAAGGTCAGCAGAGGAATCGCATAAATGAAGAAACTATCTGGAATAGAGTAAAGTGCTCCGGAGGTTGAGCCAGCCTGACACAACCCATATAGTTGTGTTGTTTTTGGTAATGCCTGAGGCATCGGTAGCATAGATGGAAAGGATTTGGGTTTGTGGATTCCTGCCAGTTTGAATCGCGAGGCAACTGGTTGACTCTAAGCCAAAGTACATAAAAAATGAGCTCTTCTCTTATCTATCAGTAAGGGTGCCCTTGAGCAAGGCACTCAGCCCTCAGTTGCCCCAGTAGAGCTGTTCAGAAGCCAAGCATAGAAAACTGTTCTGTTCTGTGTTAATGTTCAGCGATGCCAGAAAAGAGCAGGCATGTCCTGATAAAAGGCTTTAAAGATTTGAAAATAAAACCTGTTCATCCAACTAGGTATCATAATTCTCTCATCCAGTCATTCAGACAGTCAGGTTCTTGATCATCTTATTTCCTGTGTCTGGGAGTTGATGCCTGTGAGGCTTCTCATTCCTTCCCTAGTGACTCATTCAGTCTTATGTAGCCGCTAACCCTGATCTCCCAGCTGACCTAAAGCCAAGTCAGTCAAATCAGGTCTGTGTGATCCTTTGTCATACAGTTAGTTGTCTGTCCTAAAGAGGAGCGCAGTGTGACGAATAGATGAATAGAACAACACTGCCATCTAGTGGTCATAAGCAGACGTAGACACATTTGGAGTAGAACGAAGATGTGGGAATTGGGAGTCTGCACCTTTTGTTGGTTAATTGCTGAAGGGAAATGGATTGGAAGAGGACTAATTAGTGGCGGTACTAGTGAGGGCTCATTTTCAGTGGGGACCTACAATTACAATTGCCGTAATGATCACTTGTTGCAGCACATAATTGTGTTAGTTCAGGAGTGCTGGCATTCATTCCTGATTGTATTCATTTTGTGGTAGATGATTGTATTCTTTGTTGCTCCTGTGCTTCAGGAGACCAGAATACGTGCGTCTGAGAAAGACCCTCAAAGTAAAGTTCAGAATATCTGTATCAGTAACCAGTATGGAGGTGAGGAGGTCACCCACACCCTGACAACAGACAGCCGTGAGGACACACACCGGTGGATGGAGGCCTTTTGGCAACATTTCTACGACATGAGTAAGTACTTGCTATGCTCTAACACATGAAGTGTGTGATACATATACTACCATAACTACTTAAAGGACTCCAATTCAAGGACGTACACTGTTGTATATTCTGGATCTGCTGCTTGGTGCGTTGAAAGTGACAGTTTGTCTCCAACATACAGGCCAATGGAAACAGTGCTGTGACGACTTAATGAAAATTGAACTGCCATCACCAAGGAAACCAGCTCCTGTCACACCAAAACAGGGCTCGCTCTATCACGAAATGGGTAAGAGCTCTCCCTGATTATATCACTGCGGATATGCATAAAAAAAACGTTTTGCTCACTTTTAGCCGAAGAAATGATTTGGAGGAATAAAAGCAAAGGGCAGGGAAAGAAAGCACTGTGCCCGCTTTGCATGTGACTGTATGTAGCTTTAATTCCTTTGGTCCATGTGCATGAGGAGAGATCCTGTCGCAATTAAATTTCCCTCTCCGATATCTCAAACTCACACTCTCAGTACTGTAGAATAGAATGGGTCTTATCTCTGACACGCTGACTCACTCTCTGTCTTCTGTTTTCTCTGTTCCTCTTTGTCCTTTCCTATTTTCCCCGTGTGTCCCGAATCCATCACTCCCTGGCTCTGTCTTTTTTGTCCTTCTTTATTATGTCCTTGTGTCCTCATACATTATTCATGATCAACGGCACATTTTTCATCAACTTCCACCATTCATATTTCATGGGGGAATTATCTTAATCCTTGAGTGAATCTTTTTTTCTTCTCTCATCATGTCTTAACATTCACTAATAAACATGAATCAACCTTTATCACTTTCTCTCATGACCATCAAAACACATAAAAACTGAACGCACCCGGTTGCAAACATCCTATCCACTCCATCCCTTCTCTCTCACCAACCTCCCTCTCGGTTTTCCTAACCCCTCCCCGGCAGCTCCTCTTGCCACACCCTCCTCTGAGGGTCTTCTGCTGCAGGATAATGCTGTGTCTGCTGAGATTCGTGCTCTGCTCTCGTCTTATTACAACGACAGGTGATGTAACAAGAGTAGGGCTCCATATAAATTATGTTGAGGTAAATGTTGCAGTTTGGGATTTACTGCAAATCCAGGATCAAAACATTACAGGACAGGATATTTTTGTTTCATGATCACTCATCATAATTAAATGAACTTTAAGACATGTGCAGAATTCACACATCATTTGTTTTTTTGTTGATTACTTTTTTCATTATTCTGCACAACTGGTGTATGGTTATGAACTCAAGAATACATTTCAAAGTAACTCACACACTTCACAAACTGCAAGTATGTCTCTAAATCTGCCCATAATCCATACTTCCAGTGAGATCAAATTTTTCATTCATTTTGGCATCAAAACCATCCTAATCCCTGCCTTAACAAATAAAAGAATATTTAACAACTGGATTCATGTTCCATATGGTAAGAACTTCCAGTTTGAAAAACCAGGCCCGAGCCCAGTATCCAGCAGTATAATGAAGCGTTTTGCTGCGTCTCTCCTGCAGTTATTGAGTCATCCAATGACCTCACCATCACTGTGTCAGACATCCTGGCTCAGAGAATGCGGGAGCTGGAGCTCCGCAGCCAGCTGGGAACCTCTCCCACCTGGATGTCTGTGTTTGAGGAGAACAACCCCAAAAGCGCTGGCTGCCCCCGTCCATGTACTTCTCGCCTCTCTGGCCACAGCCCCTGTACCCCTCATCGACTGCCCCGGAGTCCTGTGTGCCCTCACCGCTGCCCACAGCTGAGTCTGCTGTCCTCAGATGCAAGCCTGACCTCAGACAGCGACAGTCACTGCAGCACCAGTCCCTGCTCCCATCGCCATGGCTGGCCCGAGCCTTCTTCAAACTTCTCTCTCTTGTCATCTTCCCCCTCCCGCCTGAGGCCACGCACTCTGTCGCTGGATGCTAAGCTCAGCACCCTTCGAGGGAGGGGGTACGGAGGAGGAGGGACCCTGCAGTGCCCCTGCCAGCCACCTCCCTCCTCGCTGCTCGCCCCGTTCCCCGTCTCCTCCCGGTCACCTCGGTCACAGCGCAGCACACAGACCACGCTCTCTTGCTCCAGCTCCACTTCCAGCAACAGCTCCAGCAACAGTGAGGGCAGCCACAGCCTCGAGTCATCTGAGGGAGCCCCCTTCTCAAGGCCCTCCCCGGCTCGACGCAGCCTCAGGAACCTCAAAGCCAGACTTGATCCTCGCAACTGGCTTCAAAGTCAGGTGTGAACTTGTCCCGTCTGAGAGACCTTTTACACTGGCCTAAAGGCAACAGTTAAAAGTTTAAACCATGGTTTAACTGGCTTAACATATATGTGAACCAAGCTCAGGCAGTTAGCTCAGCCACATGCACAGCCCTGAGGAGGATAAGCTGCCTTTACTGCCTCCTGGTGGAGGATGGATCATGAAAGACCCTCTTGGGGCGAACTGGAATGTCTTCTAACACAAAGGACAGGTGACAATCACTGCAGGCAACAGCACATTGCTGGGTTGCCGCAATTTTGAAGATGGTCCAATACTAAATGGGAGGTACTCTGCTTGCTTTGAGAAATTATTATGGTCATGCTGCTTGGGAGAAAGTGATGCTAATAGCTAAGGACGTGCTCTAATAAACAGGCCACACTGGGCCTAATGTCTGTCCATGGACTCTAATTCTGAAACTGGTTTTGTTTTGACCTTATGAGCCACCCTGGCTACTCAAACAATGTTTTAAAATCATATCTATTAGTGCACTAGCAGTATTTTGACTGGATGTTTCCTGTCTGTATTTTATAGATAAAGGTTTGCAGTGAAAGCCAGTGAGCATGTGGCAAGATGAACACAAGGTATACTCAGTCAAGAGTTCTCAAATGTTAGAAACTGTTAAGTGTGGAGGTCAAGGTTGGAGTCTGTACTGTCTGCTGTGTCTAATTCAGTGTATATGCATCTAATTATTCATACAACAGATGATCTTTGTGGTTCTCCTGCAATTACTATGCACCATTTTGTTTGTTTTTGCACATGATTTGACTTCAAAGTTAAAATGATGAACTACTTGACATCATTTCAACAATGAATCTGGTGAAAGCGTAACTTTATGCAAGTGCTCATACATACTACTGGTTATTACTGTGATGTCTTCTGGGTAAAAATCTGTCCTCTGGTCTTAACGTTCACACATTTATCTGCACACTGATGATGTCATTAGAAGTAGGTAATAGATTCTACATACACAGAACAAACTAGAATAAGATGAAATGAACCAAAGCTGAAGTATTGTTGAAAAGCCATTCCTATAATTCTGCTACTCTGCAGTTTTGTAGGATTCCATTAAGATTTCCAGTTCCTGATTTTGGAATTTCCAATAAGATGTGTAACATCCAGCAAACAAATATTATGCAACACAGAGACATTTGTTAGAAATGATTGTATAGGGGCTGTATTCTAAGCAACTTTATATGAAGCCGAGTACTTAAATCAATCCCCAGTCAACCAGTAGGTCACGATAGTAAGAGCAAGAATAAAGTGGTGTATTTACACTGCCATGTATTTATTTAATTCTGTAAGTTAATGCCATTTAGACAACTCTTAACAGCAGTTACTTTTTGTCACAAGAAAACAATCATCTAACTCAAATCTTATAGGTGAGTCTGTGTCTCTGTCAGTGCAGTAACCTCTTCTACTCTCTCTGTATTGTTTACTGTGGATTTTACTTTAACAGTTTCCCTCTTGGGGCTCAGAACTCAACAATTTGACGAAGAATTAAAACTGTCAAATGTTTGAAAAACATTTGTTACTGTAAATTCATTTTTAACAAATAAACCTCTCTTTTGTTATAAATGCAGCTATATTGATAGCTGATTATTATGTTAACAGATGATGTGCAGATCTGTAACGGTTACATATGGATAACATTGAATGTTATAACGTTTGCAAGTTCCACATGTTAGCAGGCTTTGTGTTCTGCATGTACACCGCCCTAGAAGGCAAACATAAGCTGAGAAATGTGGAAATCTCATGTTTAAAAAATATAACATTAATTATAATAAATGTTTTATCAATTCAAAAATGACTCTTTTTCTTCCACATTTTTGTCTACATGAAATAAATTGAAATATTACACGGAAGTCTGTGTATGGTAATATTTAAAGTTTTATTGATCTCAACTGTGTAGCTTAGATTATGATTGAATACATCTCTTATTTACAGTATATTGATACTGTAGCACAGCATATAGGAGTTTTAACAGGTCAAACATGCAGGGTTTATTTATTCTGAATAGTAAACTAGAAAAGTCGACTGAGGGAAACTTTTCTTTTTCCTGCAGGAAGTGCTCTGCACTCTGAGCATATGATGGATCATATTATATCCTATTCTGTTCCTCTCTTTCTCTCTCCAGCAACTAAATCTCAGGAGAGCCCATCTTGCGTGAGCGACTGTAGTGCAGTAGTCTGTCTTAGTAGATGCATCGAGACAGGCAGGTAGAACGGAGGCTTTATTGTCAATGTTTCGGAACCAAAGCCTTAGATTTGTCAATAGCACAAAGCACTGTTACAAACGTGGGAGGTAGTCGACACTGAGTCTTCACTGAGCATTGTAAAATGCATAGAGAAATACTATGGCCATACTGACTCTGCTTGCCGTTTGCAGTGCAGAGCTGTACCATTGTTGTGCTATTATAATTTTACAACTGCTTAAAGTAGAAAAATCATATATAATCATATTAAACCCAACATATACATATTAATTAGTATAGAACAGAATCACACTATAAATACTTTATATTGTATGCTTCATATGATGCTGATTATTGACTTATGTAACCCAATAGGTGCATTTTACAGAAAGTTTGACAATTCTATGATGTCTGTTGGATTACATAAGTAAATGAACAATGTTACAGATAAATGAGGGGTGTCTCCCCTCCATATTTAAACTTTCTTTGTTCACTTGTGCTTCCTTCGGCTCCATGATCCCCTCTCATTAGCAGGCACACCGTGGGTTGAATGCCCGCAGCGCCACACCAGCCAGAGTACCCCAGGCAAATGTGGAGAACTTTGCAGGGCACGTTCCAGCTCTGCTGATATATGTGGATGCAATCCGGTGAAGCCGCTTCGCGCCAAAGGTGTTGTAGTGTCCTGGGAGCACTTGGTCCACCTGTTTAATGAATTTATAAGTTTAATATGTATCCATAGGTACATAGCTCTGATTTAAGGACGACTATATCATACCGCTAAAATACAAATTCTGGTAAATCTTTTGATTTACATGGATATTAATTATCTTTTCTATCCTTAACGTACATTGACAAACACTACAAAAACACTGTTGTTGGTAAAATCCAGTCACTGAGCGTCATGAATAAAAGTCCCCTAAAATGTACACACAATGGACAACTCTGTCAAAAACATAACACGGCTATGATATTTTCATTATAAACCTAATAATTTTGTAGACAATGGGATTGGATACTTTGTGCATCAAAGCTCAATTAATCTGACCCAAAATATTGGTACTATGAGCTGAAATGGTTAGCTGCCCTCTGGTGTGTTTCAATGGTACCTGTTCGCTGTCCACTAGCCCCACCAGGCGCTCACAACTGCTGATGTAGTCACTGACGCGGCTGTAGGGCAGCCAGTCAATCATGGCGCCGTCGTACACTACATCTCCACTGAAGAGCAACTTATTGTCACGGTCGTGGAGGCAAATGCTGCCGCGAGAGTGGCCCGGCATGTGGAGCACCGTCAGCTGTCTGTCACCCAGGTTGATGACATCACCTAGAGATAGAGATGGTGTCATGTTTTCAGAATCATCACACATAGATACACACACAATATAACTTCTGTAACTATCTTCAAGGCCATATGCATTCTACTCTTAGGCTTACATCCAAACTAAACCCTTATGTTCCTCATAATTTGGCAGGCTGTCGTCTCATGTCGTCTCATATCACTATGATGTGAAAGACATTCAGTACATCATTGATTTTGTCCAGAGCAGATATGAGTTGCACATTGTGACAGAAGGGTGGAACTGAACCACAGCACTGCAGCGGTGGCTCGGACACAGCAGAACAAGTCGGTGCATTGACTAATGCTGGCTGCAGTATTTAAACTCTGTAAATAAAGACAAAGTTTTTAACCCCAACAAAAACAAAGCTGCTAATCCCAAATGCAAAGACCTTTGTGATATAAACTTTGTGCAACACCTATGATGAAATCCCAGAGAAATGTGGCAAAATGTGAGTTTAATGTATTAGTGAATTGATCTGGTGTGAATCTGCCAATAGCACTATGGAGGAAGGCTGTGAGGTTATTAATACTCTATGGGAAGCCTTCCATAAACTGCACCATCTCTGCATTTTCTTCTCATCTTTCTTGGAAGTAACAGTGTCATCAGCATGCTGGCTTAAAATAGAGCTGCTCTGCAAAAACTAAAAAAAAAAAAAAAAAAAAAAAAAAGAATATGCACAACAGCTGCAAACAAAAGAATGATTTGTTCTTGTCACATATTGTCTCACAAATCATCAACACGGTTTGCTTCGATAAAGAGAGTTGACAAATGAGCTCTGCACTGTTTACACGGCCTGACCAGTAATACCACATTTACACCCGTACAAGTGCTACACCTGACCTCACATTGAACTCCTGCCAAAGCAAATACAACATCCTTTGTATCTAAGCTTAGTGCACCATCCATTAAGACCCCGATGAAAAATGTTAGCACCGCTCTAGAACCTCCACTGCATATGTTAGATGCCTCTATATTGTGCGGGAATGTGTGTCTGCATCCATTTAGCAAGTCATTTTTGGTCTTCCGCCAAATTCACTGTGCGGGTAAATCCTCCTGTGGGGAGCGAAAGCATTCTATATAGGCCTACTGCATAATGTGCAAAATACTGATTCCAGGCACACCCATTAAATATGGTCTAATGGTATCGACCATGATGCTTATCGCCGGGCAAATGCGTTTAGACCTTCTGACCTGGGCTTTGATCGCATATCTACTCTCCTTCAATAAATCAGATCTGCAACGGCTGCGTCTCCTACCTACCCTCCTGCAGTATGTGCGTGGGCTGCACAGCCTTGACTTTGTAGTTCCTTGCCCTCCATCCCGGACTGGGAGCCTCGACTATCTCTCTGTCGCTGAGCCAGGTGGCCGTCTCGAAGTTGTCTCCGTTGGCCAAGGCATCGACCTCGGCGCTGTGGACGCCCACCTGTTGGAATTGATGAAGACCACCCGAGTGGTCGAAGTGGGCGTGGGTGGCGATGGCCAGCAGCGGGTTCTTCTTCTGCGGATCTTTGCCGAGCAGCCCCTGGCCGTCGATGTAGTCAGGTAAGCTCCTCAAACCAAGACCCGTGTCTACCACCACGTCCTGGTGCGAGCCGCGCAGCAGCCAGATGTTGGCCCGGTTCTCTGACTGGTAGAATCGCTCCTGGATCCAGAAGAGTCCGTCTCCGAGCGATTTGTGAGCGTACCAGTCGGCTGCAGACATCCCAGTTCATGCACCTGTCGAGGTAACCTGCTGCGGGTTTTGTGCTTTCGAGTGATTTTGTCGGTGGAGATTGGTTGCTAGCTAGAGGCGATATGTTGACGTGATCGCAGCAGCCGACACACCCTTGTAGGAGGAGAGCGTGCTCATTGGAAGATCAGATTAGTGACGACAACATAAAGCGCGCTACTCTATTGGCTGGAAACAAACACGTCATTACAGGGGCGGGGCGAGTTAGAGTCACATTTACGCTGACTGCCCGAGAGAAGCATGTGTGCATAGGTGTCCACGCTGCTCATTGCTTCATTAGATTCAGCTGTAAAATTGGTGATTTCAGGAGTTAGTTTACGTGCCGAACAACAGATACAACTGAGTAGCTGAATGTTTACGTAAAGTAAGATCGAAAAAGTGAAACCATGGAGACTTAGTAGAGGCTAAACGGCTAAATGCCAGTGAACAGCCCTGAAACACGTCTCCACGTTAGGAGCAATTCACAAACAGTCACATAGTGAGTATGACAACTTTTAAAAAGTGATAATGAGCATGTGATGTGTCGACGTTGATTAACGGTTCATAGCAGGCAATGTGCAGGCTTACAGGCGATGAAAGCTGTAGCACATGAAGTTGTGTCTACACGTGTTTGACAGCGAGTTGCCTAACGGCATGTGGACCCTGTGTTGTAGGTACAGAGGAGGCTTGCAGCCATGGCAGGCAAGGGTCGTGGAATAGGTGCCTTTACCTTCAACGTCGAGGCTCTGGGCATCGGCAGGGGCAGCATGCCAGAATCCAGGGTGGGGCCCAACCCGCTGTTTCCAGTAAGTCCCGACAACACACACACACACACACACACAAATGCAGATAACCCAGGATGACATATCACATTGCAGTGTATTAAATTCACCTCTAATCCCTGAAAGCGTTTCATGGCACAGCATTTAAGTGATTTACCGCATTTGTTTACAAATCAGAGAGACATGTGCATGACAGTTCAAACGTAGACTTGTATAATTAATATATCCATTATGTTTGAACAAAAGTACAAGTTATGGAAAAAACGATGTTGTATTTTGCATATATCAAATGTGAAATGATATTTGTAATTGTCACGGTAACAATAGACAAACTAACAGTTGCTCATAAATGTTTGTTATTTTAGGTGAGCGTTTATCCCCTAAGTTTATCTATGGGTCTTTAGAGGGGCTGAGTACTGTTTGCAATATTCTGTGTCCGTGTCTGGGGGCCCGTTGTCTCATGAGTTGATGGTAGATATTCCCAAATACTTTACGACAAACCACCTGATAAACCTGATGCTTTTGAGGCCCCCGGGGGTCATTTTGACCTTTTGCATATTAAGCCTTGCTTTGTACGTGACACCTGTGCCCACTTGCTTAGACTGAAGGACCACAAAGGACACAGGTTCAGGATGTTCAGTGGTCATTTCTGTTTAGTTTTTTTCTTACCATAAAATTTGTGATGTATGTGTCATAAAAATATAATAAAACGATCTGTCAATTTTTAAGAATACTTCAGTACTTGAGCTGCTTTTGTCCTGAAATCATCTTTTTCAATGTAATTGTAGGATCAATTTGGTACCATTTTACTGTATCAGTTAAAACAAAGATGTATTCTGTTGAAGAAAAGTTGAAGGTGACACTAAACCTGTAAATCCATAAATGTACAGACTTTTCACATCTACTCCATAGTGTAGGAGAAGATGTTGCAAACAAATTACCTGTGAAAAAGTAACTGTCATACTTAATTGGTATTATCGCCCTTCACTATCCATCCTCCTCCAGAACACAGACTTCAAGCCGGTGCCGCTGAAAGCTGGCGAGGATGAGGACTACATGCTGGCCTTAAAACAGGAGATGAGGGGAACAATGCAACAGCTACCACACAACATTAAGGCTCAGTCCAATAAAGCAGGTGAGGAGGAGAGTAGTGCTTTAGAAACCTGACATCTGATAGAAATGCTATGACAAGACAATTGGCTGCTGTGAGGGAAGATGATGCATCACTTAGGAACTGAGACATTTCATCAGGGTCATATCTGGGAAAAGGAGAGAGAGGTATAGTTATTGCAGAATATTGAGTTACAGCTGCTGCCTCATCTGGCAGTTTTAATATTATTTCTGTGGTCTGGCCGGGTGGTGTCTTTAGAGTTTCCTTGTTCAGCGATGGGCTAAATATATATTCACAAGTAGTAGATCAAGTTTTCAGAATGTCTTGTTCTAAATGTTGTTGGATGCATAATTTAAGTGCTTTCTATTTTCTAACTTCATCTATGAAAGTCTTTTGTTTTGGCACTATTAAAGCCCAAAAACTGATGACTCTATAGTAAATAGTTCAAACAGATTTGTGGTTGTGATAATGGATCAGGAGTAGGACCCGGTGGTTTATGTTGCTAAATTCATGGTTCTGATAAACTGCTGAGTGTGTTGTAAAAGTGAATTGGGATTAGTTTTAGATTATACTGAAGCTGACTTTTCTCTTGTTTGCATGAAACAGAAGTGGAGAGATACACCGAGAGATACTTGAAGCAAAGACTGATAGAAGATCAGGATTGGAGTCCAGGTACGTGCATTACATACTGTCATTTGATTACAGCAAATTTAGAAGAACAAAAAGTAAAATAATGGAATGCTATTCTTGATATTTTAGACTGGAACCTCCTTCCAAAAGAATTGATGCCCAAAAAGAAAAAAATGTGTGCTAAAAAAGGTATGTTAAAGCCATGATGTATGTAATGCCATTCCATTTTATTCCTTTAAGAATAAAGACAAAATGCCCCAATCCAACAGAAACAAAGAAGAAAACTGAGAAGATATCAAGCAAAGACGCAGAGGATATGCTGAAGAAATTAGACGTAAGCTTTTCGTCACTTTGTTTGTTCAGTTTCAAACTACTGAGCATGACATGTACTATTCATTGTCTCTTGACGTGATTTATCAAGTACTCATGAAGTTGATGAAGTATAAATGAGCTCAGGATGTATATTTGCACTTATCCACAACATTTCAGAACCTGGCAAAGAACGATGAAGGAAACCCTGAAAAATCAGACGACGAGACCGAAAAGAAACCCGGGAATGAGGAGGAAGAAATTGAAGAGGAAGAATATGACGAAGAGGATGTTGAAGAGGTTAGATTACAAATCACAACCTGGAATCGCTTTTGGCAAATTTGTTTAACGCAAATCTAATGTGGTCGATATGTAAGAAGCGGAGTTAATATCTGACTTCATGTTTCTTTTGTTTCTCCGTAGGAAAACGACTACATTGACAGCTATTTTGACAATGGTGAAGACGGTGCTGCGGGAAGTGATGAGAACATTGATGGCGAAGCTACATACTGAGAAAGTATCGCCCGTGCAAACTCACTGTTGAAGTAAACAATCATGTGACTGCCACTACTGGTTAAATATTGTATATATGTTGCAAATAGTGTTTCACAGTCAGTTTTGTTTGATCTTGAAGGGCAGGCTTTCCTTTGAAGACTTGTGTAAATAACAAAGGCCAAGCTGCGCACACTGGTAATAATTTATTCAAAATAGATTTATTTATTTTACAGCCTGAGGCACATTTGCACAGGTTAAAAAGGCACATACTGTCAACACATGTAATGCTTTTTCATAAAGTATCAAGTGAACACAGGAATACAATAAATGGGGTATGTAACAAAGTCTAAAATCTCACAATTACAAAAATGAGTCATGGGAATAATGTGCATTTCCCACTTTCCTCACTATGCTGTGAAATAAAGAAACTCTTTAGGCAAGCTGAAAGTAAGAATAATTCAACTGGTACCTCAATACTGATAGTGTAAGTATCTTAATAGAGTTGAAATAAATTAATTCTATATTAAACTCAATGACAGCAATCATACTTTCCCAAGAAATAGTGTTGGGAAGTACAATTTCCAACATGGCAATAAAACTGCTAATAAACTAATAAAGCCAAATCCTCAGAATTATGATTTGCTGAATAAAGAGTTTTGCTGTTTGTTTCTTTTTGAAATCCCTGGATATAGTTTGTGTGTAGCTTACTGAGAACGCGGCAGCATAGATAACTACAACATTACCTCAAGTCCATTGGCTACACTGACTCAAATGTATCCGTCTATTCGAAAAGTTCAGCAACGCCTAACTGTTTTAGCCCATTGTTACTCCTTGTTGGAAAGCATGTAATGTTAAACAGACCAGGAATGACAGTGGCCACACCCTTATTCCTAGTTTCTCAACCATATAAAAATGAATGCCCTCACTACAAAGTGACTGTCCTTGTCAGACAGATTGCATTGCTGTATAAGCCTATTAAAAAACAACATATCAATGGGAACATCCACCTAGTCTTATTAAGTCTGAGTTGGCAACAAATGTGGAGGTAAAGTAATAATCCCTTTTTATGTTTTCTCATGCCCTCCGTCTCCTGCTTTGTCCACATGTCCCTGTGGATCTCCATTAACCACATTGCCATCATTGTGTCCAGCCCCTGCCTTGTCTCCAACAGGGAGGTCTAAATTATTGCCTTGGAGAGGTCCATGAGGTCCGTTGCCATGAGCTTGTGTAGGAATGCCATGATGGCTGACGTCAGCTTTCACAAGAACCTCATAGTAAAGCAGATAAAACACAGGTGTGACAATGCCAACAACCAGCATAATAGCCACAGCCATCCACCACCTCATGCCCCAGTCTGCCCCATAATAAGGGTCCTTTCTCTGTACCGGTTTATACTCCACTTCTCCTAGAAGCGGCTGCTGTAGCGTTAAGGAGGACACAACCTCATTCAGACTGCTGCGAGACGGACCTGTGGATTTCACCAGCCGCTCAATGTCCTTGTCCTTCTCCATTAGAAATCCTTCCACACTGTCGGTGGAAGAGGAAGAGTCTGTGGAGGACTCGGCGGGAAGGGAGGTAACAGGTGAGATCTGGTGGAGGCGCCTGGCAGCTGCGGGGGAGGCAGATTTGAGAGGTCCAGTGCTGTGAGTCTCAGTGAGGACACTGAAGCGCCTCACAGGAATCTTGACTGACCGCAGGGCAAAGAAGTCCTGCTCTGTCAAGAGGTTGTTGGAGCGCTTTATATCCGCCACCTAACAAACACACACACACACACACAGGAGAAAGATGAATTTATGACACTGCTTACTGCCAAACTACTATCTTACATCAACTGTGGTCTGAAAATTCTGGATTCAAAGTCAACAAGAGAATGCAGGAAATAATACAAATTATTAAATACAAAAAAAGACTAAATAAAAGTAAAGCAAGCCGAATAAATACACATAACAGTATTATATATAATATGCATATGATAGCAGTGGAAATATATGGAAGGTATGCAATGACAGTTTATTAGAAAAATCCTGTCATGTAATCTTACCTAACCTTGATATGTTCTAAAGGAGTGTTTTTGTTGCATGTCACTGTACCAGTCATAAACTGAATCATTGATATTGGTACAAGTGTGTCATTTATATATTTTTGCCACTAAGAGGCAACTGAAACTAGTTGTGAACACAAAATCTGAGCTAGTCGCTAGCCTGCGTATGCTGTTAAGTGCTGAGCGGGTAGCGTACAATGGGGTTATAGAGTAATTTTGCCGAAAACTGCTGCCTGCTGAGGCTGAAAACGGGTCTAAAATCTTAACAATGAGCTGAAACTCACCATAAAGCCCTGTGAAGTCGAGGGGAGCCGCAGACACATCACTACAAGTGACCCGTTTCACATTGTCATTTAATACATTGTTGTTATAACAGTTCTAGCCGCTTTAAATATGCAACAGTGAAAATGAAGGAGAGTTAAGTGGGTACTCTTCAAGGAGATTAAGAAAGACAGACACACACACACAGGTCTGAAGACAAACATACTGAGCAATGGTACTGCAGGGCAATGCTGTTCAGGGTGTCCCCCTCCTGGATCTCTCTGGTCAGGTAAATAATGTCGTCCATCCTCTCTCTGGAGGTGCTTCTCCGCAGCCTCTCTCTGCCACGCGGCCGCAGCTCATTGCTCTCCCCATCCTCCTCAGACAGGTCATTCTCTGAGCCATTGTTTCCAAACAGATAGGCATGACCGCCATTGGCAGGCTTCACCATGGTGGCTGACTGGAAGCCATAGTGCTGGCTTATACTGGACATTTTTCTTCACTGTACTGGGAAGAGCAGAGACAGGATTGAGTACCAAAATACCAGCAAGGTATGCTTTTATTCTAAAGGAAGTTAAAAAGAAAAAAACTCGCCTGAACCAATAAGTCCCTCATTAAGTCACACACAATTCTCATTTAACGGGTTGTATAGCTTAAAATAAGAGGGCTATGCTGTAAAAAAGAAGATCATGGCAGGCACACGTGCCTCTGACAACTTGACAGATCATCAAAACTTACTACACATGCAGGTGACTATGTCTAGGAACTATGACTTTGTTCCAATGTAACTGTCAATGTCATCACACTGTTATAAATTGACCATATCAAATGTATGACACCATTCAAGCCCATGCATTTATTTCCTAAAACCTGCAATTAAGGGAGCAGTGAATGAGAGACTCGTGTCAATCTCACAGACAGTCCTCATTCATGTTAAAGTAGATAAGAATTGGGTCCCTTCCAGATGGATAAGAGACCTTACAGGCAGTACGTTGAATCCTCGAGATGTCAATGTCCTCTGTTTTTGCAATGTTTGCTTCGTTAACCATTACAACCATAAGAACATTACTGTGGATTATCATATCTTGACTGATAACGTTGACGTATCCTAACGTTAGCTACTGCCCTATCGCAGCGGTGATGTAACGGTAAAACAGGTTTTAATCTAACGTTAGATAACTAACGTACTTTAAACATGATGTAATGTTAGCCACGTTAGCAGCTGGCAATCTAACGCGTTGCCTAGAATCATCTCCTTTATCAAGCGCACAGGAGAGTGGTTAACAAGCTAATCTTACAAGAGCTACTGTGGCTAAAATACCATCTTGGCACATACTTAACTAAAGAAATTGTCTATAAAACAACATAGCTAGCTTAATGCTACAACTCAGTCCAGTCGACATCCGTCCAAGAGGAATAACTAGTAACTTTAGAAACACAAGCCACCAAAGCAGTGGTTTAAATTAACAGCCACGTTGGTCTTGTACCAATAAGGCTGAGATTTACAGCGCACATCCACAGTTCGCTAACTAAGAACCATCTGCACAGGCTAACGTCAGGCTAGTGCTAACTAGCGTCCACCTTATGTTATGTGACAAGTAAGGTTTGTGCCTTGCTATCCGCCTGTTGTCACCGTTGGTGAATGATAAATTAGGATGATTTCGCCAACAATAACCTTTACCTGGTAATGTGAACACCGATCAATCAGTTGACCTGGATAATATCCATATTTCCCCGGGATTTACCTTCGGTCTCACCTTCCTTTTTTGCTTAGCGTTAGTTTCCTACCCGCTCGCTACTGTTGAGTCGCTACCGCTCACGCCACGTCAACAAAATGTTTGCGTAGTGACGTGTCGAGTGACGTCTTCAACAGAGTCCTGACTTCTGATCGCGAGATGGCGCTAAAGGTCAGGGTCGTCATTGCTGTGATGGGAACCAACAGACTTGAAAGTTAGTATTATTATATTCAGACATTTGTATTCATATCCGTGGCAACCAAGTTTATTGCGTACCATATACCTAAACTAATTGCCATGTTAATTACAATTCAACATATCTAGTCAGTAGAAAATAGGCTTTAATTACCATCACTGGGTTTATGGAGTGTATGCAGTAAATGTCATCAATGCCTATTCTAAATTAGAGTCAGCACCGTCCCTCCCATCATTTAATGTTAGCTGGGGACATATTTAGCATGATACTTATTTATAGCACACATGATAGGTTACCCGGGCAAAGATGCATGCACACTTGCATGCATTAGTTATACAATTTTGTCAGATTTTAAATAGCTTATGAAGAAGTAAACATTTGCAGAGTTTATGTTGAGTAAAGAAAGGAGAGACAGTTTCACGGGCGCTTCATCGGGTCACAGGGTGGCGCTGTGCACCACCACACTGAGCACCATACGAGAAACAAATGAGATTAAAACATCTTGTCTCATTAGGCAGCCACCGGGAGACGAGCTGGAATCCCTGCGTAGCTGCAAACTAATCTTCCCGTTGGATCGGTGAGTTGTGTGTGTGTGTGTGTGTGTGTGTACAGCAGCAGTAGCTCTCACGTGGCCGCAGGAGGACGACGTTGTTTATAGAGAGAGTAGAAGGTCCTGAACAGACCGGGGAACATCTCCGTCTCTGTTATTCCTCCAGTCCCGCTAGATGACACACACGCTTCACCCCATGCAGTTCACCGGGATCCCCAAGAAGGACAAATCGAGTTGAGCAGCAGATATCGGATGCTGTTTGAGAAGAGAAGGAGCTTTTGACTCTGAGAGGACTCATCGATGTTATCGTCAGCATTAAATACAGCGTAGTAATTTATCTTGGACGGAGAATCCAAGGAAGGTGTCAGGTGAGTTGGAATGATTTATCGGAAGTCTCTTTTCAAACACATGCTTCTGTTTGTCATTGTGAGTACGGGCTGATAGTTCGGATATGCGGCGATCAGCAAAACTTTGCTGGATGATTTCGTAGAAATACTTGGATGCAAAATCGCTTTGTGACACATGGTTACCCCGACTCTAGGACAAAGCAAACGTCTCAGATTTTTTTATTTATTAAAGTCAATCAGTAACTCAAGGCGTTATAGTGGTGTACTGATAGTGCAGCGAATAAAAGAAACAAATGAGTAGCGACACTCCTCATCAATTATGCCAGACAGCTCAAGCAGACATATTGTAGGACACTATAACAAAACGATTAAAAGTAGTTGGCCACCGCTAATTTCTTTTTGCATTGTGCCAAAAATCCCCCTTGGAGCAGCTAATAAAATTTGAAAAGCCTAAATATTGATTCAGCGCAATCAGTAAATGAATGGCCGGGTAGCCCATTGAGGACGGAGACAAACGCTTCCATGGTTACATCCAGGATCTCCAGTGTGATTACTGCGCTTTGTGTGGGTTTCTCTCTCCCACTGAAATAAAACAACAATTCAGGGGGGAACCGCCACACATGGTGAGCTGGAGACCCTCTCATAAAGGCTCCGTTGACTAATCTATAAGCTTACTCGGGCCATAAGTAATCTTGGCACACTTAAAGTTGCGCACATGTGCTGTTACTGTTAAATCAATGAGTGGTGCCTGTAGCCTCATTGTGCTTCTTTGCGTATTTTACGCAGACGTGCAGGCTCCATAGTTCACACCAGTTGACGGGGTGGGGTTTTTCTTTCCTTGAATAATTGAATATGTCCACCTTATCTCTAATTGCTTTGACATGATGTCATCTTGGTTCGTCCCTTGCAAATCTCTTTTGTTGCCTCCTCTGTTGTGCCTCAGCGCAGTTAAATCCCTTTTTCTCACTGGGGAGGAAGGGAGGGAGCTGCTTCTGTATCCATTCAGCACTTACACCTGCTCTTCCTTAGCGCCAGCCTCCACTGTTAACTGTTTCTGGACTATATCTTTGTATAAAATGGTGACATTATGGGATCTGTTGAGCAGTTGTCCCCCTTTGTTTGTAGAGAAGCCGCAACACTTGCCATGACATTTTCACATTCCCCCCCCCCCTCTCAAACCTCAAATCTCTATTTCCATCATCCCAAACCCCTGGGCCACAGTCAGTTTTTTTTTTTTTTGTAGATTTAGATCCTCTAAGATCCACACTTGCTCAGAGCTCAGGTCCTTTGTTTGTCAGTGTTTATGTCATCGCCTGGCAGGGGTCAGCCCCCAGTCGCCTGTGTGAGGGTCTGAATGTGATTCACTGGGCGGAAACTGTTTTACTGCCTGCCTCTCTCCGGTTCTGTCTCACCCCTCTAATGGCTGCGCACTACAAAAGGGGACAGTGCTATAAACAGAGCTTGTACATTGATGAAAGGTGTTGAAGTGTTGCACATTGCGGAAAGGATGAGATTGATGTTTGCTGGGGACGCCTTCCCAGTGTGTTGGAATAGAGGGAAATAGTAGATGATTGCACAGTTCTCAATACTGCCTTGCAACAGGCTGTGCCTGCCTCCGCTGATATGTGCACCATGGATCACTGTTGGGGGCAAGAGGTGTAAAGGATCTCTTTATGTTTATAACGTTGAATTCAAACATTGCATGTTATTCTATTTATGATCTTTTTTGTCATCTGTAGTTCTATATTACTTCCCATATCGTTTATATAAAAACACAAGCTAATTGGTTGGTTTCTTACATGTTTTTTTGCAGCTTATGATATCCTCTTTAATAATCACATGAAAATGCAGGCCTGCGGAGGATAACGTTCATTTAGGCTATGTAGCAAATGTTATAACTAGTAAACGCACTGCAAAATCTTATAATTCGCCTCAGTGAGTGTTCTGCATTTACATTTTTCATGACGTGAGATGAGAAAACCAGCAGACCTACACTATACACCTCTTATTAGTTATGGTCTGGTTTTCATTTCCACACCTTGAGAGCATAAAATGTTGCACCAACATTCCCACTTCTCCCTCAAATTACCATTTCCCTCAGAAGTACCATGCAGCAGAACAATTCATAATTCTTTGGTGCAAGACAGATGTATACCTTAAACCCGCCTCCTTTTCACTGTGCTGTGAGCTGACTGGGCTCACTGAATGCTTGTTTGGGTTTATGAACCGTAGGGCTCAACATTTTTGAAACACTACGTTTGTGCATGTGGAAGGTTTCAAGGCTGCAAATTCATTTACCACCATTACACATCACAGGGTTGCACAATTAAATGTAAGTTGTAGCCCCTAATGCTATACACACATATTACATAATACAAATATTTAAATTGGAATAGAATAAAATGAAATAAAATATAACGATACAGTTACTTGTGTACACATCCTTATAGAGATAGCCCATACCTTTTAATTATATTTAGGCTATATTAAAATGAGCCCATTGAGATCAACAGCCATGATGCAAAACTGGAAAATAGCAAAATGTTTTTCACTTGCACACGTAGTCATGAGTTATTGGTGCTTTTTGGATTAAACGGTTTTCTGTGTTGTATAGTGTGACCGGATTAGAGTTTTAGGGATAGAAATAGTTTTCTGAGATTAAATAATTCTAAATCAGAAGTAAGTTTGTTAGACATCTCATTGACTGTTTGGTGTCATTTCAGTGTATTGCTTCTCAAGGAAGTGATATTTGGCCAATGTGGGAAAATAAGTCACTGCTGTGGGCAGACAGTATAGTTAAGGCACGGATAGAAGAAGTATGCTGAAGGCTCTAAGAAGAAATTGAAAATGCAGGAAAATATCTGATGAATTGAAAATAATTAGTTTTAGTGCTTTTATTTGTTTAACTTGTGTGCCAACATGTCTGGAAAACCCCGATAAAGCTGATTTTAGATTTAGTGAGTGGACAAACTCAAGTCGTAAATAAGTCTTTTAAAATGTTTTGGGGATTTTAGTACTTTGTTTTAAAAATCATTTGATAGTTCATGCTTACGCACAGGAGACAGTATCATGTTTTAGTAGTTGTTGTTCTTGGAGCTGAGGGACAGGAAAGTAGTGGGTCCTCAGCGATGGCCAACGATCCAGAGGTCTTTTCAGTGGGCTTTAAAAACCGCATATTATTCCCGGGAAGAGGATGCTAGTATTGTCCCTGCAGCAAACCCTCGGCCATGAACTTGCTGTCAACTCTAATAATTGTACTCTCATACATACACACGCATGTACACACACACACACACACGCACACACACACGCACACACACGTATTGTTATACCTTGCACTCTGTAGCGATGAGGTGTCCTCCCACAGCTGCCCAGCATTTCCATTCAAGTATTAAACTTGAACTCTGACCTCTTGTGATGTTAGTAAAGCCGGTGGCCTCTGACAGGTCAGCCTTTCCTACCTGCTGTGATGAGTATAGACGATCACATTACCAGTTTATCTGTTGGGTTTAACAATAATATAAATATAAATATATTTAGATTAATCCATAACATTAATGACGTTTCTTATATTTTTGTAATATGTTTATCATATTCTATAGCAAATACATATAAATCCAGTTCAGCTAAAGCAGCTATGTTGCAAACTGCATGGTAAATCAGCAGGAAGCACACAGAGCAACATCGCTTTCTCAAATGTCAAAACATAATGAAAAGTAAAAGAACATTTAGGAAGGCTGTTTCCTGTGGTTCACATTAGCTTGGCTAGACTCTGTAGTTTGTACAAATTAGATTAAGTCGCACGGACTGTTGAAAGCAGGAATCCTCTTTTTTCCCTTTTGTGATCATTGAATGACTTATTATTCTGAAGCCATAAACCTGCTCTGCAGCATTATTTGATAAATGAACACACTGTTTGGTTGCTCTTCACTGATCCCATTCTTTGAACGCGCAGACCCCCACATGGGTCCC